TGCAGTGCGTTCCGTTGCCATAGTAGCCAGCCGGACACTCGCAAGTGTAGCCTCCTATCGTGTTGGTACAACTGGCGACAGGGTCGCAGTCATCACACCCTAGTTCGCACTCATCTTTATCTGTTTTAAAGAATTGTTAAATAAAGTAAATACAGCACATAATTCACAAGACAGTTCAAGACAATATAAAAACAAAGCATAATATAAAAACATGACAATCGGAAACGTTCATGAAAATCATCATATGAGCCATGGGGGCATTTCTTAGTTGAGATATTCACCTTCGCAGTGCTGAAAAGCGCCGTTGTCGTCCTGAAGGATCTGCCATCCTGGTCGGCAAGAACAGCGGTAGTAATCTTCCCGTAAGGAGCAAATGCCGCCGTGTGATACCTGGCCACAGCGATCCTCCTCGTCCGAACACCAGTCGATATCTGAAAGGCGCCAATTGCAAGTTTTTTTTTAAATATTGACTAGACATGGTGATAGCACACTCAAGTTATATCAACTTATTTTATGCCGCCACCAATACGAATACAGGGCAAGACAATACTTATTTTCACTTGAGTTAATTGAGGAAAGTCGTGTAAAGTGTCTTTCCCAAGGGCACAAGATCGGTGGCTTGTCAGGACTCTAACCCGGGACCTCTTGGTTCCGAGTCACCACACGACCCCACAATTGCAAGTTGATATTGTAAGATATGTTTTGCGCGTGGTGATAAAGAGGCAGTACACATCAGAGCCCTCTGCTCCCCGCCACCCTCGTCCAGTGACGTGACCTGTATTCACCTTTAACCTCTTGGACGTGACTACCTTTTCATTACCCGATGAAACATGGCAGATGGTGTTGGTTTACCATGTTACAACAATGTGAAATTTAATATTCCATTATAATATATATACATGTATTGAAGTTAGATAAATACACTAGTAGTAGAAATAATCTATGTTTATACTTATTAATTGTTATTTGCCATACATTGTATCCAATGCAATTGTTGCGCAATAAACTAGACTATTATTGGTTTATTAAGATGGTGTTTACTAGAGATGTTACCATTATGGCATCAGATAATGTAAGGGTATTACTAACAACAGTATACGTTGTAACAGTATACAAAGGCGCTTTAGGTAAAAAGTTCCCTACAAATAGAGAAACGATACTTACGTCCTTCAGGGCATTCTTTGTTATAACAGTTCTTAATTTCCGCGTCCTGGCCGATACAAAACCGGCCACCGTTGGAAGGGGGAGGGTTGTTGCACTGACGAGTTCGCGTCTGGACGCCCAATCCACAGTACGCCGAACAGTTCGACCACTCACTCCAAGTACTCCAAACACCATCTATTTTAAGAGGAGACAGAAAATCAACCTTCATATCTTTCTGTTTTAACAAGATGCACCAAGATTTAGAGAGATTAGACCAATAGTATGTTCAGATTATGAATGAATTATGTATGGAGAATAAATGAACGTACCGACAGGAACCAGTGATGTCTGTACTGTCGTTGACGTTGACTTTTTGTCAACTGCTGTAGTCGTGTTGTTGGTGGTTTCCGATGTTGAAGATAAGGTGGTAGTTGCTATCGTTGTTGCTAGGGATGTCGTTGCCACTGTAGTCGTAACCACAGGAGAGGTAAGATCAGAAACGGCAGTGGAGGTTTCTGTGAAAACTGTCGTCTCTTGAAGGTGGTCTGGATGCGTGGTACTTTGATGAGGCGTTGTACCGGATGTCACATGAATTTGGGACGTGCTTGTTTCTTGTGTGCTTTCGTGAGGTGTAGAATGCATGCTTGTAGTTGACATAACTGACGATGCTTGGGAAGAACTAAGTGTCGGACGCTGCGTTGTTGTGCGAGGTATACTAGCTGTTGTTGGAAGTACAGCAGTAGTTGTCTGCTTTAGTGTTGTTGAGAAAAACTGCTCAGTCGTCTTTGGAGAAACAGTCGTTGTAGAAAGCGTAGAGGCTTCTGTTGAACTTGTCGATACTTTTTGTATGGTCGACTGTTGAGATGTTGAGAAGCCTGTGGAATACGATGATGATTGTTGTGAGGGCGTTATGGTTGTAGTTGATGGCAATTTTGTACTGGCCTCTTCTTCTGTAGTTGTTGGGACAGGCTGGTCAGTCGTTTTGGAAGAAACTGTCGTTGTTGATAGCGTAGAGGCTCCTATGATAGTTGTCGTTGTTATATTTGTTGTCAACTGTTGGAAGTCTGTGGAGTACGATGATGATTGTTGTGAGGGCGTTGTTGTAGTTGATGGCAAATGTGTGGTGACCTCTTTTGCTGTAGTTGTTGATACAACAGTAGATTCTGGTATTTGCCCAAGTGTTGTGGAGACAGTAGTTGACATAGCTGACGATGCTTGGGAAGAACTATATGGCGGACGCTGCGTTGTTGTTTGAGGTACACTAGCTGTTGTTGTCAGGAGTGCAGCAGTAGATTGTATTGTCTGCCTTAGTGTTGTTGAGACAGACTTGTCAGTCGTTTTTGGAGAAACGGTCGTAGAAAAAAGCGTAGAGGCTTCTGTTGAAGATGGTAATGTAGTCGACTTTTGTTCAGTTGTTGAGAAGCCTGTGGAATACGACGAAGACTGTCGTTGGTGAGTTGTGGTAGTAGTTAATGGCAACCTTGTAGTGGCCTCTTCTTCTGTTGTTGTAGAGACGGACTGTTCAGTCGTTTTTGGAGCAACCGTAGTTGAGGCTTCTGTTGGAGCAACCGTAGTAGAGGCTTCTGTTGAAGTTGTCGATACTTTTTGTATGGTCGACTGTTGAGATGTTGAGATGTCTGTGGAATACGATGATGACTCTCGTGGGGGTGTTATGGTTGTAGTTGATGGCAACTTTGTGGTGACCTCTTCTGCTGTAGTTGTTGGGACAACGGTAGATTTCGTTGTCATTTCATCTGCACCAGTAGTGGGTCTCGCAGATGTTGCCGATGGTGTTGTTGCCAATGTAGATGTAATTACATCGGCAGTTGTTAATGGAGTTGGGGTTTTGGCAGTTGTTGGTGGAGTTTCGGTAGTTGTTGATGGGGGTTCGGCAGTTGTTGATGGAAGTTGGACAGTTGTTGATAGAGCTTCGGATGTTGTTGATGAAGTTTTGGCAGTTGTTGATGGGGTTTCGGTAGTTGTTGATGGAGCTGTGGCATGTTGATAGAAGTTGGACAGTTGTTGATAGAGCTTCGGATGTTGTTGATGAAGTTTTGGCAGTTGTTGATGGAGCTTCGGCAGTTGTTGATGGAAGTTGGACAGTTGTTGATGGAGCTTCGGTTGTTGATATGCTTGAGGTCACTGGCGAAGCAGATGTTGCCATGCTACTACGAGATGTGCTAGGCTGAGTAGTCGTACTAAATATTTGACTGGGTGTAGAGACCGGTGTCATTTTATCGGCACTAGTAGTGAATCTCATAGAAGTAAGTAGCCCTTCGGTAGTTGTCGATATGCTTGAGGTGCTGACTATCTGACTGGGCGTAGACACCGTTGTCATTTTGGATGTAGATGTAATTAATCCTTCGGCAGTTGTTGTTGGAGCTTCGGTTGTTGTTGACGCAGCTTGGGCAGTTTTTGATGAAGTGTCGACTGATGTTGTCGGGGCTTGGGCAGTTGTTGATGGAGTTTCTGTTGTTGTTGATGGAGTTTCGGTTGTTGATGTGCTTGAGGTCGCAGGTGCAGCAGAGATTGTGCTGAATATCGGACCTGGTGTAGAGACTGTGGTCGTTTTATTGGCACCAGTGGTAGGCCTCATAGATGTCGATGTTGTTGTTGTTTTTGTCCCCTGACTTGAAGTGGGAGAAACGCCAGACGTGGAAATCGTTGTCGGTTCATCGACATCAGTGGTGCGTCGGGCAGATGATCGGCCTGTTGTTTCTGCTGAAGTAGACGTCAGACGCCCTTCGGCAGTTAGTGCAATTGAGACCCGCGTTGAAAATTGCGACGACGTCGACCTTGAAGCAGAAGGTGAGATTGCCGTCGACACTATTGTGGATGGTGGTCTCCTGGTACTCGTTTCGTGCGTTGTTGTAAATGTAATTCCGCTGGTCGTCGCAATGGATGACATTTGGGAGGACGGTGGCTGTGATTGTTGTTCAGTAGTTACTATCGTGCTCGTCGTTGATTCCTGCTTGGTGCTCTTTTCTTGTGAGGTGGTAGACACCTGGCCTGAGGTAGTGGAAACGCCAGACGTTGAGGCTGTTGTCGTCTGGCCTGGTTCTGTCGTGAGCTTGACAAATTTTGTCGATGTCGATATCTGCGTTGTTGCCTGCTGGGTGCTTCCGTCATGTGCTGTGCTGGACACCTGACCTGAGGTGGAGAAAAGGCCATGCGTGGAGGTCGTTGTCGCTTGGCCTGGTTCTGTAGTGAGCTTGGCAGATGTTGTCGATGGCAATATCTGCGTCGTTGTCTGCTTGGTGCTTTTTAATGTGCTGGACACCTGAGTGGAGAAAAGGCCATGCGTGGACTGAGCAGTTGTACTGAGCACCGTACTTATGGTAGAGAGAGCACCAGGTGTGGGGACCGTTGTTGTCTGGCCTGGTTCTGTAGTGAGCTTGGCAGATGTTGTCGATGGCAATATCTGCGTTGTTGTCTGCTTGGTGCTTTTTAATGTGCTGGGCACTTGACCTGAGGTGGAGAAAAGGCCATGCGTGGACTGAGCAGTTGTACTGAGCACCGTACTTATGGTAGAGAGAGCACCAGGTGTGGAGACCGTTGTCGTCTGGCCTGGTTCTGTAGTGAGCTTGGCAGATGTTGTCGATGGCAATATCTGCGTTGTTGTCTGCTTTGTGCTTTTAAATGTGCTGGACACCTGGCCTGAGCTGGAGGAAAGACCATGCGTGGAGGCCGTTGTCGCCTGGCCTGGTTCTGTAGTGCGCTTGGCGGATGTTCCGGTTGTTGTTGGAGTTTCGGCAGTTGTTGTAACTTCGGCAGCTGTTGTTATAGTTTTAGCAATTGTTGTAGTTTCAGCAGTTGTAGTTTCGGCAGTTGTAGTTTCAGCAGTTGTAGTTTTAGCAATTGTTGTAGCTTCGACAGCTGTTGTTCTAGTTTCAGCAATTGTTGTAGTTTCAGCAGTTGTAGTTTCTGCAGTTGTTGTAGTTTCAGCAGTTGTAGTTTCGGCAGCTGTT